TAGAGAAGCGATCTACTACCACGAAGAGGACCGATTTGCCACCTACCTTGGGTAGTCCCTCAATGAAGTCCATGGAAATGTCGGCCCAGATTTGTATCGGGATCGAAAGGGGCTGAAGGAGGCCTGTCGGGTCTAGGTTTTCCCATTTATGCTATTGACACGTGGAGCAATTCCGGACAAAATCCCGAATAGAAGTCTTCATACCCCGCCAATGGAAATCAGCCCGGACGCGGTGTAGCATCTTCTGAACTCCTTCATGGGTGGAGTTATGGACGCCAGTGATGATGGTGGAAATCAACAGGGAGTTAGGCGAAAGATGTACCCGGCCTTTACATAGTACCAACCCGTTGTGAAGCGACCAATTGGAGTTGGTAGTGCCGGACTGGATCTTTCGGACCAGGAGCGACCATTCCGGAGACTGGCGTTGCCTTCTTAATGTCGCCTAACAGGGAGATCCGGGGTTGGGAAATTGCATTCAGAGCCATTGTGTCTTCATCTCGCCTAGACAAGGCATCAGCTGCGCGATTGGAGGATCCCGCCTTGTATTCCACCCGGAAATCGAACCCGAGCAGTTTGCTAACCCAATGTTGCTGAGGGGAAGTGGTGAGACGTTGCTCCAATAGGTATTTGAGGCTGTAATGATCAGTTTTGACGACGAACGACCGCCCCCACAAATACGGCCTTCAGTGCTGGACGGCTCGGGCTAGGCCGATTAGTTTGCGCTCATAGGCCGGAAGTTTCAAGTGCCGATCGGACAGTCTGCGGCTGAAGAAAGCAATCGGGTGCCCTTGCTGCTGTAACACGGCCCCGATACCCATTCCAGAGGCATCGCACTCGACTGTAAATTCGAGAGCGAAATTTGGTAATTGTAGGATTGGGGTGGAAGATAGGGCATTTCTCAGTGTTAGAAAAGCTGCATCGGCTGTGTCGTCCCACCGGAAGGAATTTTTCTTTAACAGGTTGGTTAACGGGGCCGCCAACAGTCCATAATTCTGTACAAATTTGCGGTAGTAGCACGTTAATCCGAGGAACCCGCATAAGGCCTTGGCTGATTGAGGCTTGGGCCATTCCTTGATAGCCTAAATTTTGGAACTATCAACCGTCACACCCTGCCCGTGGATGACGTGGCTGAGATAAAGAACCTGTCGCTCCCCGAAGGAGCACTTGGACCGTTTGAGGAAGAGTTTGTGTTGGCGCAGGAGATCAAAAACGGTCCGCAGATGGTGCACATGCTCTACCCATGATTTGCTATAAGCGAGGATGTCATCAAAGAATACTAAAACAAATTTGTGCAGATGGGGCTGAAATACCTCGTTCATCAATGACTGGAATGTGGATGGGGCATTGGAGAGACCGAATGGCATGACTAAAAATTCGAAGTGGCCATGGTGGGTTCGAAAGGCAGTCTTTTCCACGTCACCCATGCGAACCTGGAAGTATCCGGACCTGAGGTCCAACTTAGAGAAGTACTGAGCACCATGCAGCTCGTCCAGCAGTTTGTCCACAACGGGAATAGGGAACTTATCCTTGATCGTCCGGCCGTTGAGTTCTCTGTAGTCAACACAGAACCTCCAMGTTCCATCCTACTTCGCCACCAACAGAACCGGCGAAGAGAAAGGAGAGTGACTCTTGCGTATGATCCCTTGTTTCAGCATCTCTGTACATTGCTTTTCTATCTCGTCCTTCTATAGGTGAGGGTAGCGATAAGGCCGGACAACGACTAGTTCTGAACCCGCCACCAAAGGAATTCGATGGTCGCATGCTTGGGGAGGAGGGAGCCCCTTGGGTTTCTGGAATATATCTGAAAACTCGGCAAGGAGTCTTTCCATGGTCGCCGGTTCTGTCTGAAGTGCATGGACCTATGGTGTCCTCTCTTTAACCCCGCAACCGTGCCATGAAACTTGTTTCCCATTCAGATGGAATGTCATTGTGAGTGCACTGAAGTCCCATAAAATCGGGCCTAGGGTAATTAACCATTTGACCCCAAGAACAACATCGAACCCATCCAAGGAGAGTACAAATAAATCAGCAAAAATAGTTCAGAATTGACCTGTATCGAGACGCTACCTGTAGTCGTGGCCGGAGTTCCATTGGTAGTTTTAACTGAAGGGCGGCATGTTCACTTATGAAGTTGTGTGTGCTCCCTAAATCGACAAGAATGCGCACCGGTTGACCTGCTATCTATGCCTGTAAATGCATGGTCTAAGAGGTTTTAATACCGGTGATCGCATGGAGGGAGATCTCTGGCTCGAATACGACGGGTTCTTCTTCCTCCTCCCCTTGCTCATCAACTAGGAGGCAAAAAAGCCTCTTGCACCTATGTCCTGCCGAGTAGAGGTCATCGCAGTTGAAACATTGGCCTCTTGCTCGGCGTTCTGCCATTTCTGCCCTGGTCAACCGCTTAATGGGTGGAGTGGCCATGTTGCTACCTGCACTTGTCACCGATCTAGAGGTGGCGGTTGTGTGAGATCTCAGTTCCCGGCTGGCTGCCGACGAGGGGGTCGCTGTCGCTGATTTTGGGGGTGCCCATGAGTTCGGTGGACGACCCACATTGTAGGTCCCGCGGCTGAGCTGCAGCTTGCGCTCGAACGCGCGGGCTAAGTTCATGGCTGTAACCAAATTTGGGGGATTCTGCATTTCGACATCCACCCGCAGGGGTTCTGCTAACCCTGCTGTGAACATGTCCACCTGCTGGTCCGGTCACACGGAGGATGCCCTCGCGATGAGGGTTTGGAACTGACGCTGGTATTCTGCCACCGTTCCAGTCTGTTTAAGGTTAATCAGCTCACCTAGGGGGTTGCTGGTCAATGGGGGTCCGAACCGAAGGAGACAATAGGACTTAAACTGGGGCCAACCAAGCCCGGGTTCTTCTTGCTCTAACCGATAGAACCAAAGTTGTGCTTCCTCTGTTAAATGAAAGGCGGCGAGACTTACCTTATCCCGGTCATCTGTCCTCTGATTCCGAAAAAACTGCTTGCAACGATACAGCCAGCCCAAGGGGTCTCCATTGCCATTGTACGACGGAAATTCCAACCTGCTGTACTTGGGGATGATTGCGGCTCCTTAGCTAACGGACTGCTGTTCGCCGGGAGACTCCGGCAGATCTGGTCGGCGGCCGCTAGTGGCTGTCCCTCCTTCAGTGTTCCTTTCCTTGTTAGAAAGGAACAACTCCATCAGACGTCGTAGCTCCCTTACCTTGTCTTTGATCTCACGTACTTCTGAACTGGTCTCCACGAGTTGGTGCTCGAGGTCGTGGACCCTGGATGGCAGCTGTTCCATATCTCCCATGACGCCTTGCTCTGATACCAAGTTGTTGAGGGCCCGAGAATAGGATCTCATCACGGGTCGGTCCACGGGGAAAACCTCCTGTTTTCCCTTGTTCCTTCCTGCTCTTGATGAACCTATCTTGGCACCTTGGTGATTTGTTCAAGAGATCACCAACTCTCCTAACTCACTTCTTTAACTGAATATTCTATATCTCATTCAATAATGGTGTCTCCTTAAATAGGAGATTACAAGAGTCCTAATCTTAGGGAGTCTCCTTGCTGAATAGGGAGACTTCCAGTTCTATCTTGCTAAGGATAAGATAAGTTAATCCTAATCTGATAATCCAAGTTAATCCTAATCTGATAATCCACTAATAAGATAAGATAAGAGCAATAGAATAAGATAAGAACAAGCAAGATGATCTAATCTAATCTGCTGTTGCCGAACTGGGTAGGACGAGGATCATTGAATCACTGCTGCTGCTGGCGGTGGGTCAGGTTCCTGTTGCTGCCGGCGGCGATACTTTTTCCCGAGGAATGCGTCCATAACAGCTGCTTTGACACATCTCCACATTATCCTCCCTCTCTTCTTCAACCAAGTAAACAAGGAGGGATCAAATAGCATATTGGCCTCCGTTCATAAAGTCCATCTGCATCCAAACAAAGAAAAAAACCAAAGCCAAATATCTGCAATAAAGGGGCAGGAAATTAGTAAATGAAGACAACTCTCATTACTGGATTTGCATAAGACGCACCAATTAGGGAAAAGATAGGACTTAGGTCTCCCCTTTTGTAGCAAGTCCATAGTATTTATCTTCATATGAATTACTTCCCAACAAAAAGCTCTTACTCTGGGTAGGATGGGTCTACACAAAAACTCTTTAAAGGGAAAGGAAGAAGCTGAGGAGTCACAAAAGGTCTTTGACAAAGAAACATAGGAAAACAAACCCTTGGGGGCCCAAATAAGCTCGTCCTCCTGAGAAGAGAAAGAAAAAGGGATTGGGAAGAAAAGGAAATATTCTTTATATGATTCTAACTAACCGCTGAGGCCTTATATAGTAGTGGCCTTGTTACAAATCTCTCGCACATGGGAACCTCACTGTCTCTAGTAACCTTCACGTGGCTTCCTGGTGTAGACAAACGGAACAGGGGGTTTCATGGGCTGCTCTTTGATACCATTCTCCTGGGCTGCTTCCTGTCTGTGACCACCATGGGCCTGGTTCTCGTGGGCTCTAGATTGTGGGCTAACCAAAGTCCTATCAATTTAAGTCTGGTGTCGTGAACTGAGAGTACTGAATGGTTTGGGTAATGGGTAATGAGACCTCACTTGACAATAGATGGTTACTCATGAGGATTTGCAAGGGTAACCCTGCTTACCCAAACAATTATGCAACACCATCTGATCTGGCGGAACCCTCTTTTTTGATAAATTGTAAATTTCATTAATTTGAAAGAGGGTGAGATCCTCTGAAAACTAGAAAAAGAGAGAAACTAGGGCCCTATCTATTATTGTTGTCTCTGGTTGTTGTTATTTTTATTTATTGCTTTTGTGTGTGTTGCAGACAGGGGGTGGGGTGGGTAGTCTCATTAGCCATGCCAATAGGGCTGTCTCTTAAGGCTTACAAATTTAGAGTGAGCTTTGTCCTTTATCCCTCCCCCCCCCCCCCCATTGTCCACCCATTGAATGGTGACCAAATAGCTAACCTCCTTGTACGAGGCAACAGAAGCTTGCTACAAGTTCCAGAGACCATACTTTGTGCCAGAGCAACCTATTTTTACCTAGTGCTATTTGAATGAGACTCCTTCCATCAAATTTTTAGCCTTTTATACAGAAAGATAGATTGTTATCCCCCTCCCCCTCTTCTCTTCCTGACTAATAGTAGCAATACATCATGAGATGCCCAATAAAGGATTGTTTCTTTAAAGTGTTGTTTAATTTGATTTGTCACGCAGCTATGCAGAAGTTACTTGAGATCAATTTAGATCAAGTAACTTTCATATATGTGAACTGCCTGTATTTGAGATTGTTTCGTTGATATAAAACATAACTCAATATGTAATTAAGAAGAATTAGTTGTAAAGATTGCAAGCTAACTGTCAAGCTGGAAGCTGAGAATTGTCTGATGCAGGGATCTGCCGCAGATCCAGTGGTGAGCAAATACATTGCTTCAGGACTCAATAGAGAAGCTGTGGCCCTTGCAGTTGCAAACTATGGAGATAATCCAACAAAGGTATGCACTTAATTTTAATAAAATATCTAACATGTTTTCATAAAGGATAGGGCCAGAAATGAAGTCATTCGAAAGAACCTAGGAATAGCTCTAATAGGTGATAAAATGAGAGAAAGTAAACTAAGATGGTTTGGTCACATGCATAGAAGACCACCAACAGCATCCGTAAGAAGTGATCTGTTGCAAGTTGTAGGGGCGGATGGGGCTGGAAGGGCTAGGGATAGAGGTAGACCAAAAAAGTTATGGATTGAAGTATTTAGAAATGATTTAAGCGCTCATAATTTAATAATGGATATGGCATTAAACAGAACAGAATGGAAAAAAAGGATTCACGTTGCCGACCCCATATAGTTGGGTTAAGGCTTGGATGATGATGATGATGTCTCCAACAGGTTATGACCTTGGTACATGTATATGTAAAACCTAGTGGTATATGTAGCTTGGACAAAGGTGGCACTGAATGCACATTTGATGATTTGTACATTAGTGACCCATGAACCTTTAACATAACGGACCTTTTCTTGCTGCAAGCCATATTTCTTAATTTAAAGAAGGGAACCTATTGATGGAATGGATGCGGTGATCCAGTCATTGGTATTATTTAATTTTTATCTGGGAGATAATGGTTGGGCCTAACATGGACAATCTGGGCCATCAAGAATGTAAGCACATGCTGTCTAGGAAAACTGATGATGCTGCCAGATTTGTTGCATGACCTAAAGTATCACAGATTAGTTTGTACAAACTATACTTGATTCATGGCATACAGTTTGCCACATTTTAGGCAATCTAACAAATTCATGTACTGGCAACCTCATAACCTGTAAAAAAGGACAGCCCAATGCACAAGGCTCCCACCAATGTGGGGTCTGGGGAGGGACAGTTGTACGCATACTTACCCTGAAGATAAATAGATAGGCTGTTTCCAAGATTTGAACTGTGGTCACCCCAGGTGGCAATGGAACAACCCAACTGTTGCACCAAGTCTCACCCTCAACCGTTAAGCTGTAAATGTACATTTCAACTGGCAAGACATGGCGTGGAACAACTTCTGGTTTAGGGATCTACAACAATCTTTTTTTTTTTTTCTCTTGGCGTAAAAGCTGAAAACCAATTGAATTGATACATTAGATATATCAAACTTAATTATTATCACGAATTTAATTAAAGAGCCTAACGAATCAGTGCTATGGACTGATTGAATCAGATTCACTGCTAATCTATGAACCATGTACTGTGAATTGAGTATTAATCGATTGAATCATAAGTACTGTAAAACATGGTAGGTTGCACCTCATCTCAGAATTAGCTGGTTATAATGATCTTAACTGGTGAGTTGTTGAACTAATTGCATTCTTTTCATATCTGCATATTTGAATTCCAGTAATTATTGCATGTCTGCAGGATCCACCAGATGTTGATCATCTTTCATATCTGCATATTTGAATTATCATGCCTACATGGAACTATATGACTGAGCATGAATTATTTTATCATAATCTAATGAAGCATCTATGATTCTATTCATGTTCAGGTTCGGGAGTTTGTAAATGGGTACAACCTTCTTAGCGAAATGGGATTTTCATCTAACAGTGTTGTTGAAGCACTGGCAATGTATGATAATGACACAGAGAAGGCATTGGCTCATTTCCTGAACAACCCATCGTGATGGTGCTGGGAATTGATGGTGTCATACAGGAACTTTGATTGTATAGCGCTTTGTGCATTCTCCTGTTTACTGATTCTGCTATGAGGAGTGCCCAATCCTTGAGAAACCAACAGACATTGGGTATGTATCTTTGCCTATCAACTAAGAAAAAGAAAACTATCTGGGTATCCTATTAGTGTGGTGGTTCGTAAACCCATTGCTCCTTTGTATATAAAGAACTCTGGTGGTGTCAAAAAAAAAAAAAAACCGAGGCCATTGCGTATGTATTGCCTTATCTTTCTTTCTTTTTTTTTTTTTTTTTTTTTTGATCAGCATGTATAGGCTGTGTAGCCTTATCTCTTTTAAAGCAATTAGCAGTTGAATTTTCCAACAATTACAGCACTTTAGTATGTAATCGTTCTCCTTGATATGCCAATAATTTATCAACTGCATATCTAACATGTAGTACTGATATGATTACTACCGTCACAATTGGTGCCATGGCGAACCTAGATAAATGGTCTGTGATTTTTTTGAATGGGCATGGTTATTTACTGGAAGTACAGATTGAAATTGAAATCCTTTGTTTTAGATAATTGGAAGACCCCTCCTTTACAGAAATTTTGTGGTCGAAGTGGTTTTCAATCAGAGTGAATGATTTTTTCACCTTTTAGAGTGAATGATTTTGTATCGTACATATGTCCCTTCCTCAGACCCTGTATTGCTGGGGTAAGGCTGCCTCATGCACTGGGGTGTCCTTCACTAAAGAATGCTATGTGTTCACCGTTCAAAGTAGAATATGCCTATTTTTGGAGGGTTTTTCCTTTTGCTGGGAAGGCCCCATTTTTTGCTCATAAATAAAAAAGGTTAATACCTAATGTTGGCACCAGTTATCTAGGGTAGAGCTGTAAATCGGCCGTGCCGCCTACGACCCAGCATGATTTTGGACTAGCTTGGCATGACTCGACACAGTGGAACGGGGGGGCTGTGCTAGACACGATACAATTCTATGAGCCGTGTTAGGCTTGGGGTTTCATGTCCATGGACCGGCATGACTGTGTTCTGTGCTACCCACATGTCGGCACAGCCCACCACGTGGCATGACACAGCTTACGCCCTTGGGAACCCCCCCCCCCCCCCCCCCCCCCCCCGATTAGTTAGGGGGTATATGTATTTTAGCTTTGGGGGGGCGGGGGGAAGAAACAATAATGCTCGTCCAACAGTAATATTTTATATAATAGGTAGTTTGGGATTTTGGGGGCATTTGGGTAAAGTAATAAATGACTTTATAATAACCAAAATACCCAACTAAAAAGCAATTAGTTTTTAAAGGTATTTTGGATAATTGAATTATTTACAATTCCTATAAATAGCCCTATCCTCTACTATTTTCATCATACCTTCCAATTCTCATATACTTTCAATCTCTCATAAAGTCTCATACACTTAGCAATTTAAGAGGAGGCTTTGAGGCTTCAACCATTGAAATCAAGTTGAGATTCCGAACCGTTAATTTGAGTAAGTGCAATTAAATTAATTTTTATTTTTTTAGAATTAAGATAAATGGTCGACTTCTCCTCCCAAAACCAATTCCCCAACATTAAGTTGACTAACCCGATTTGAAAAATATTTAAAATAAAGGACTAAGAGTAGATTGAAGGGAAGGGAAAAAAGCCATTTGCCATAAGCATTAGAAACATACATCTACATTAAAGATTTGTTGGATGCTGAGGATAAATTACAAGACAAAGGAGGGCATGGCACTACACCTGATTAAGTAGATGATTAAAGTCAAGATGGAGTAATTTTTTTTAATTTTATTTAAATTATTTTCTATTTTTTCAACAATGTAATTTTTTATTTTCAAATTGTATGTTTTTTTGTATTTTAAATGAAATAAAATTCCTTTTTTTTCAATTTGTTGCCTATTTTGTATTTTGGTAATTATTTTTTTCCTTTCTTTCTTAGATTTTTTTATTTTTTTCAATTTGTTCCGAAAGGAAAGGTAAGTATTTTAGTATTGCTTAGCAAAAAAATCAAAATGACAAAAAAAAGTTTGGGCCTTCTGGCCTAGTTTGGCCTAGGCCCAAGGCCCAACCCATAGCCCCGCCCGACACAACCTGTAGCCCCATGTTGGCCCAGCATGCCCCAATTTACACATTTAATTTAGGGTGTTTAGGGGTGCAACTTGGGTGGGCCTAGCCCAAACCCGAACCGACCCAGTTCAAAATTTTACACAGGCTAGGCTTTGATTTTCATCCTCAGGATGGGCTCAGGCCCAAGAAGTTGGTCTTTTTTATTTTTCAGGCCAGGCCCAGGCTAGCCCTTAGGTAGCCCAAACCCAACCCAATATACACATTCATATAATATATATACATATGTGTGTGTATGTATATGTATAAACATTTGTATACATATATACATATATAATTTTAGAGCAGCTTCATTGATCAACCCAAGCTCCGCCTGGGCCTGAGCATCAAATTATAGTCTGGGCTGGGCTCGGGTTGAAAAGATCGGGCTTGACCTCGGACTCAGGCCTTAAACCCAAATTTTTGGAGCTTGGATTGACCATAAACCTGGCCCAACCTGCCTAACTTGCACATGGGTGTTGAGAGGGGTAGACTGGATATGATCTTAACCTTTGACAATTTTTTACACAAAGTGGCTGCTCTTAAACTCAAACATGTGATCTTACATTTGCAGCCTGAGATTTTACCATTACAGCAAGTAATGGCCCCTCCATTTTTGCTCATGGACAAAATATGTAAATGTTTTGAGGGAATTAAAACAATTGGGAACAGGATTGAAAATGGACCATAATTGAATATCAAAATGAGTTGAACAGTACCTCTCTTGAACAAGGATCAACCAGCAATCAAGGTGTAGAATATCAATGACATGATTTGTATTGGATCTATTGGTATATCGTATCCGTTTCCATGGAGATTGGCTCAGTGGAATATGGCTAGGTGAGTAGGTGCCATTCATTCCACATGTACCAATCGGTATCATCTATAACATTCCAAATTCAAACTGTGTCAATCGATATGAGGTGATACAGTATGATATGGACCATGTTTTGGTAGAATGATTTATGGTTGTTGGTTTCACTTTTCTAGCATATTTTCTCAATTCCAAGTTTTCCATCTCCATCCTAGTTGCTTGTAGAAGAGTTCCTATAACTCTTGATATCTTACCCAAAAGAAAATTCATTGAAATCAAGTCATCATCATCATCTAGGGCTTATCCCTATATGGGGCTTGTTACAAAAATCTTGTTTTGCCATGACCATTAAAGTGGCATAAGTTTTAAATGTCAAATGCCAACCTAACGCGACCCTCCTCTATCTAGGCTTGGGACCAATAATAGTATAAGACAAGCTCACACCAAAGAATAATGCATTTTTTTTTTAAATTTGATCCTTCAATATTTGGTAGATTCATATATTTTAGTGGTTGAAATCAAGGTTTAGAATTGTATCGTGCATATCATACCAGTATTGAGAGTTATGGATACAAGAAATACTAAGAATGATATGATATGCACGATACAATGCAATACATATTGAAAAGGTAAATAAATAAATGAAGTTTCGGTTGTTCAAACAACTACACAACTTTTGCTTATTGTGTGTACCGATATTTTAAACCCTTTTAAAATGCAAGGATATATTGTTTTTTTGTTTAATTCTGTCTTCTTTTTTATATGGATTTCTCAAAAAAAAATCATAAAAAATAACTTATTTTTAAACAGATTTGAACTTTTGATGTTAGGAAAAAACTATATATGAATGATCTATCAAAAATTTATGTCAATAAAATGATTTTTATATTTTTTGGTAATTTATAAATATAAAATAATGAAAAAATAATGATTTAGTAATTAAAATTAATGAATTGCATATGATGTGATATGTATCTCAAAGAAATTAATTAGCAATTATCTATCATGTTAGAAATTTATGATTAAGTTGACTTTTTTGCAGATATACAAAATAAAAATAACAAAATATAGAAAACATTAATTTAATAATTAAAATATAACGGTGGCTATATCCTCAGATAGCCAAGGAAAAAAAGAATACCGTGGAGATGCACTAAGCATGTTTATAATGACTTATAACTTCATTTCAGATAATATAACCTTAATAAAAATAACAGTAAATTGGTCAATTATTTTTGTTTATATGTTGATAAATCAAGTGTTTTAAACCAAAATTATCTTATATATATTATCTCAATAACCTTAAATGTAGCGTTTTAGGTACAAAATATGACAAATTACAAGAAAAAAGACCCTATATTATTAACTCAATAACCAGTTCAAGTCTTAATTGTTTCGGAACAATCAAAACTAAAACCAACCAAATTATTAATAAAGACAAATCACAACCATTCAAATCGGTTTGATTTGGTCAGGTAGAACCGACCATCCTGCAAAACAAACGCGGTATTAGTATAAGAACGAAATACAATGCAAATTTCTGTATCAGATGATTTACAAGCAAAGCATTTATTAGACGGCACTCCAAGAAAAGGGTACCCGACCGAACAAGACCACCACCAACGCATGGTTCTCCAAGCTCAGATGTCGCTCTTAAATCTTAACATTGCCGGCTATTGGCTAACGTGACTTTATTTTTTTTGAAAAGCCCGCATGAGCAAATTTACAAGCAAAGCATCAGTCTGACTTATTAGACGGCACTCCAAGAAAAGCTTACCCAATCGAACAAGACCACCAACAACGTAATGGTTCTCCAAGTTCAGATGTCACTCTTTATCAAAAAAAAAAAAATGTCGCTCTTAAATCTTAATATTGCCGGCTATTGGCTAATGTGAGTATGTGACTTATTTATTTTTGAAAGCCCGCATGAGCAAGAAACAAATCGCAGAACTTACACCAAAGAATGGATAGAGAAACAACGGGGAATCATCAATTATGTAGACACTGAAATGAATTTTCGTTTTTTCTACTGATACGAATTTTAATTTTGTATGGATTCTACATGGGAAAGAATGGTTAACCCCTTTTATCACCACACGTTGGGGAAAAATTGCTGGAATGCAGTACAAAAAAATCATTGGATCTTTTCCTCTCACTCTTCCAAAGTACCGTCAAATAGTTGCAATTGCCTGCATCCACACTCCAATCTCTGAAATATTGAGTTTTGACGACTCCTCATCAGGTGTTAATCGTTTCACAGCCTCAATCCTCTGACTAGCTTCTTGTTGGGGAACTTACTAAGAGGAAATGAATGTTGTCAGATGTGTCGAATCAAATGCCTGAAAAGTGAAATGGGGCAGTGAAAATAACACCCTCTACGGAAGCCTATTGCCACTGGGCCGACAGTCTTCTATCTATGGATCTAGAGATATTGAATCATACGGCTGCACAAATAGCCCCTGCAATTGGAGATTTTCAGTCTCTTTGGGGAAGCAATGCTATCATGTCCAATGACAAAAATAACTTTGTAAGTGCAACTGTGTGTGTGTGTGAGAGAGAGAGAGAGAAACCTGAAGACCAAGACGAGCAGCAAAACTTCCCTTCGTCTATATGTTTGACATCAATGCCAATAAACCATGATCCGACGCTAACATCGTCATGTGCATATGTACGAAGAATATGCCTGCCAACACAATAAAAGAGGTATTTGGTTTACAAATACGAGTGCGAGAATTCAATGTACAAAGATAACAACAGAGCAAAATAAAAAGAGGAATGGAATATTACCTATTTATGGAAACAAACTGGGCCAATGCTCGGGATATAACAAACATCTCACCAGAAGCATGACGAAAGTAGCTGAAAAAAAAAGTATAAATTCCACATTGAAGATGTGAAATTTATAGCTCTAGGTCAGGATTTTCATCAAATTCTACATTGAAGATTTTTATGGATAACCCTCCAGTTAAGCATTAGTATGCTTTTTTACTGAATAAATACAAAATATTTATATTTATATTTACATTTTTATTGGTCCTGAGCTAATGTCAATTTATCAGAATACTCGCCTGAACCTCATGTTGACTATATGTGAAAATCAACAAGTAATATCGACATCACAGAAAGTTAACTTCCTAGTGCCCAAGGAAACAAGTGTTAAATAATATTAAGCCCTCGATAAACTTTTACTTTATTCCCACTTATCTGATCTATTGAAACTCCATAGAAAAATCTTCAGAGCTGGACCAGATGATCGTGTTGCTTGGACCAGGGAACTAATGCAAATGCAACTTAATTTTGAAGCAGGTGAAAATAGAACAAAATCCAGATTATAAAAAAAAAAAAAAAAAAAAAAAAAAACAAGAACACTCAAACAAGAGTTTCATAAATATGATGCCTTAAGCATTATGCATTGGTCAAATCCATCCTTAAATATGAAGCTTCAATATTTGGGTCCCACGTGAACAATTTTTAATGCATAAAACCATATGCACCAACAGTGTTAGACGTTGAAGTCAATCCACTGTTGCCCACTAATTCTGAAAATCAAGGTTCAAACTATCGATACACAGGGGTATCAGTACTTTGAACCTCATGCATCATATTTTTTTAGTGTTTTTTTTCAGAATTCCTGAGAAAGCCCCTTTTAATGCTATTTTTTAATTCTTTTGAAGGGCCCAAGTCTCTGCTATGACCAGCAGGAGACCTTACCAACCAACTGGTTGGCACCTTGCACCCCTTTTAATGCTATTTATATTTAACTATTAAAAATAGTGTTTCCTTAAAATACCTTAAAAGAACCATATTGGCCACCTGCCCATACCGGGCATATCATGTCAAAATTTTGAGCCTTGCTGGCAATTAATCCTATGGGAGGTCATTGGCACAAAACATGAATCAGGATAGGTTTCCCACTTATTCTAGTAGAAGAGGTAAATATAGTATCCTGTGGAAACTTTCTTAACATGAGCCAAAAGCAACTAGCAACACTAACGTGCAGCATCATTTTGACAAATGACACATTAATTCACCATGGCAAGTTATAAGCCAATTAACATATACACTAATTTTTTCAGTAACAGAAAATTTTATTAATTAATTTAAAAGTAAACAGCTACAACAAGGGTAGCCTCGGTTAACCCTGTAAATCAAAGTTTGTGATCCCTATAACGCTTTGTTTTTACAGTTACAACTGAGCCCAGAAGCAGATTTCCCTATGGACCCCTGTTTTGCTAGTTGATCCGCTAAATTGTTATCCATTCTTGGGATCCACTGAACTTATACACTAATTGACTCGTATTCTTTTTTCCAAATCAGTCAGCTAGCAATAAGCCCAACTACTCATTTGGATAATAATCATTTTTTTTATAATAATAATAATATTGACTATTTTTTTATGATACAACAAGTATATTTGAAATTTCGGGTTTATATCTGGGGTGTTATACACTTGAGCTATTTTGGGGGCCTATATAATTCTTTTATTCATAGTGGCCTTGTCCAACAAGATAAATGGTTTTAGCTTATTTAAGCCATTATTGATCTCTGGTGACACGAGAGAGGATGGATATAGACCACTGGGTGTACAGGATTCAATAACCAGATTGGTACCATTTCTTATTTCTGATAATGTAGTGCTGCCCTCTCTTTCTCCCCTGTAGTCAATGAGCCAAACTATTGTAAGTCTCGTTTCTCATTTTTCTGTTTGTTTTGTTGTTTAATCTTTCCTGGTATGTTTTCTGTTCTCATAGATGGCGATCTGGCTTCCACCTATGCTAATTGTCTGGGTATGAGTTTCCTTCTGGTTCTCTCTGTTTCTCAGTCTAACAGGGTATCGAGAACATCCAACAAATTGAGCTGTGATTATGATCCATGTTAAATTTCTTTTTGTTACTATTATGATGTGATAATTTCTGAAGTTAAAAGACAGAAAGAAACAGTTCGCTTACGATTTTCCATCACCAAATTTCCACCAGTCTGGTTCATACCACTTGTGGTTCCTGTAGCAAGTCCAGCAACAAAGCATGTTACCACAAAAAACAGATGAAGCTCAAAAATTATAAGCAACAGCTCATTTTCTGAAATATTTGATTACAAGTATTTGACCACACTTACTGTTCAGAGAAAACTTCTCCTGATTTCATACACCCAATATAAACACGAGGTTTGTCCAAATGAGTTGCAAGCATAGCACCCAGAGCATCTGTATTACAGATAAACAATTACCTGCAGTTAACAACATATACTTCTCTGCTTCCATTCTTCACTTCGTCATTGTTACCACTGGACCCACTAATTTTAGTAGTGAACCTAATATCACTTCCTCTTTAGAAAACTGGATCTATAAATTAAACAGCTTAGAAGCATTAATTTATATAATTCATCGGAATACATTTCCTCCTAAAATGGAAAACAATTTAATTACAGTAGAACCACACAGATCTACAATGATGCACATTAAAAGAATTTATAGATAGTGATACAAAATCCATTCATTTGAACTGTGAACAAAACTGCATAGGCATTAAACTATCCCAGAGAGATCAGATACCATTTGGTGTATGCATTATGACAAATTTATGTTACACTGATTACTTGACCATGTCATTACAATGGCTACTAAAAGTTAAAAAAAAAAAAAAAAAAAAGTAAAACTACCACAAAGACATAATGATGATATACAGGGAAAGGAAAGAAAGCAAAAAAAAAGTGCAACCAGCAAAACTCAAGGCGATGGAGTTGGAAACCCAAACAAGACCCAAGAAAGCACGAAGAATTATTGCCTTAAAATCTAGGGAAAGCCCACCAAAACCTGAGGACCTGGATCCCCAAACTAGCAAATGCACTATTACAAAAAATCACAGCTCTAATCAAGTTAACCTCAAATTTCCCATAAATTTCAGATGCCTGCAGCATACAAAATCTTCAAACATGTTGTCATACTTTGTCTAAGATTATTAGATGAAGAATAGCTACATATAAATACATAACACTGACAAAAAAGAACATGGATATTGATAACTGGAAACAGGAATAATGCACTTTACATTCAAGAATCCAGGACAGACAGAAATATGATATCATTTTTTTTTTTTGAGAAAGGTATACTAATAAGGGTACATTTCGAGTTGGAGACCAAGAGATCAATCAATGTGACCTTTTCCATTACCTTGGTTCGAAAATTCATAATGCAGAGGTTGAAGAGGATGCCGCCCATAGAATTAGAACAAGATGGGCAAAATGGAGGGGTGGATGATATTGCAGTGACTGAAAATCATGGCGAGTTATTTATTTATTTATTTTTGATAGACAACCATGGTCAGATTCAGAAATTGCAATCTTTTCCGGCATCAAAATTTGAAATCAAAGATTTGGGAGAACTGAAATACTTTTTGGGAATGAAGTTGCAAGATCCAAGGAAGGTACATTCATTTCTCAAAGGAATTATACTCATAATCCACTTGAAGAAACCAGGAAAATGGATGCTAAGCCTTCTAAGACTTCCATTGATCCTGATCACCACCTAAATGGGAGTAATGGGGAGCTTCTTGAAGACAAAGGAGTGTTTCAAAGGCTTGTAGGCAGGCTTTGCTACTTGTCCTTTACAAGGCCAGACATTGCTTATGCAGTTGGTGTAATAAGTCAATATATGCATGCACCTTGGGTTCCTCGTCCAGTGGCAGCTGAAAAGATTCTCAGATACTTCAAGGCTTTACTTCAAAGAGGCCTTTTGTTCTCTAACCATGGGCATTTGCCATTGGAAGCCTATATTGATGCAGATTGAATAGGATCAATTGATAATCATAGGTAGATTTCAAGCTATTGTAACTTCCAGGGAGGGAACATGGTGACTTCAAAAAGTAAGAAATAGAGCATGGTGGCTAGGTCAAGAGCTGAAGCAGAGTTCACATCGATGGTCAATGGAGTGTCAGAGATAATGTAGCTCAAACAGTTAGTAAGGGATTTAGGTGTCGAATTCCAAGGCAATGAAGTTGTATTGTGCTAAGAACTTAACAAGGCAGCTATCAACATTGCTCACACTCCAATATAGAAGACCGATTAGCTTTTTTTCTCCGAAAGGGATGATAAAGAAGAAACTTGAAGCTGTTTTGAGCAAAATTGAGCACGAGACATTTGTGCTTCAATTGAGGAGTGTAGGAATATATAGCTTTGTAATAATAAGAGAAGGGGTAATTGCTGGAAATTTCTGTTTTTTTAAGAATAACTATAAATTGTTTGGGTGACCCGACCCTAAGGGAAACTCACCCAATTCCACTAACCTTTCTCCATTTCTCTCTTCTTCTACCTTCTTTCCTTTCTTCTCTCAATCTCTTAACTCTTTCTTACTTCTCACAACCTTAATAGATACATTAACAAGAATGATGAAGTGTCAAGCACCCCAGTCACCTCAGTGGTTACTTTGTCCCCCTTTTTCCATCTCCCCAAGTGTTTGAAATCCTGTTGCAATTAAGATGCATCATAGAAAAAAAATGACAAATTCAAGAGAAGAAAAAGAAGAAGGTAAAAAGAAAGAAAATATAGGGGCTGAGACACTGAACCCGTCTTGTCCTAGTTAAATAAAAAAGGTTGGAAGAGGAAGAATGCATTGATTAAACAAAATTTTAAGTTTTTCCTTGCTTATCAGTTCAGATTTTAAATTCCTGAAGGGCCGATGGCATATGTGTGTTGATTGAACCCTAACAAACAAGAAAATAATAAAAAGAAACTAGTATATATATAACCCATAAAATAAACAATTTATTGTAATAATGTCTATTTTATTATTATAACCCCAAAAAACAAAATATAAAAATATTTTATAGTGCCATGTAGAAAATAGCTAGGCACTTAAGCAAGGCAACCCTCCATGGGTACCTTGTGTCCTAGATGCCTGCCTAGGAATCACCTTGACAACTATGCACATAGGGTCAGCTCAAGGCAGGTTCACCACTTAAACTGACCCATTTAAATCCCTACAACTAGGACAAAATCCTAAACATCAAATCTTTTTTTTATTAGGTAGTTGATATTTTCATTTATAAACAAAAGCCAGAAGTTAAGTGCAGATGTACACTGTACTACTACCGCCTCTACACCCAAAACAAAATTCCAACTAAATACAATTACAAATTTATTTAAGAAGCTCAAGACTAATCCATGAAACAACTAGAATCCACACAAAGATGAATCAAAGATCTCTTGTTTCCCTCAAAAATTCTGCAACTCTTAAATCCTAATCACCAGTTGTATCACACATCCCAAAATCTCCCCACTTAAGAAAAAAGGAGACTTGAATCATGTTAAAGAATGTAGTGCTGTTCCTTCATGATTTAAATTTCATGAACAACCAAATTCTGGAATTAAGTGTAGCCCCAACTTTCATGAATTGCATCCCAGACTATCATTCAACTTGGAAAAAACCACCTCAGTGATTATAGTGCCATGATCCCATGACTATTGGCATTCTTTTGAAGGACTGACTTATATAGTTAAATCCATGGTTTAAAATGTCTCTAAATTCCCTAATATTTCCATGACATATTTGCATTTCCATGGGTAGCAACACAAAATTTTACCAGAATTGACATATTCTCCAATGAATACTACCAGCACTATGTGGCGTACAAGAGATAGTTTCCACAACATATTTCCATTTCCACTTCCATGGGTAGCAACACAAAATTTTACTGAAACTGAAATATTTTTTTTTTATGAATAATAGTAAATTTTATTAGTTCAAAAACTGATTTAGAGTTGTGAATTCATACAACATCCCAGGGAGAGGCGCAAGCTGCAGCCCCTCCTTGAACCTTACAAGTAAAACTAGGAAAGAAAAACAGGAATCAAAGCTGAGACCAAAACAATTCTTCCCGATTTACCCCTTGCTTAGCTAAAACATCGGACAAAGTATTTGCTGATATCCCCACCCACTGTAAAGAAACCACCATATTCCTTGTCAACCAACTRAATTTCTTCATTTCATTCTTGTAGCGCCATATAGCGTCTTCAGGATTTTTCAACCAGCCCACCACCACTTTGGAATCTCCTTCAATTACTAGATGTTGTACCCCCAGCTGGTTTGCAAGTTGCACCCCTTGTATAGCAGCTAATAGCTCTGCCCAGATGGAGTCCCCAACTCCTAGGGGACCCGAGTAGAGCAACAGAATCTCTCCCTTCTCATTTCTCAAAAGATCCCCCATTCCGGATAAGCCTGGATTACCCATGCTACTTCCATCAAAGTTCAGCTTCAATGAGCCTTCAAATGGAGGAGACCAGCTTGTAATTGACTTATCCTTTACGGGTGAACACCTTGCTACTGCTGACCAGTTTCCCCAAAGGTCATTAAAGGAGAATTGATGAAAGATTTCCAAAATTTTCTACCAAAGTATTGCCCTATGCAGCACATAGTCTTTCAATTCCTCACTGCTCATTTCCTTTTCTTGAAAGATTCTAGCATTCCTTTCTTCCCAAAGAGTCCAAATCAAGGCAACGCGAGCACATCTCCACATAATTCTCCCTCTTTTTGTAGGCCAAGAGAAAGTAGAATGGTTAAAGATCATGTGAATTTCTGTTGGCATACTCCAACAACTCCCAAACAACGAAAGTAGCCAAGCCCAAAGGTTTGCAGAAAAAGGACAAGATATTAGTAGATGGTAACAATCCTCCCCATGAACTCTACAGAGGATACACCAATTGGGAGAAATACAGAGGAAGGGTCTTCTCTTTTGTAGGATATCTAGAGTGTTTACTTTCCCATAGAATACTTCCCAACAAAACGCCATAATCTTTGGGGGAATGAGCCTACACCAAATTTCCTTTGATGGAAAAGGTTGTTGAGCAAAATGCTGAGAGATGGACTTGAAGTAAGAAGCACAAGTAAAGGTTCCTTTGGGTCTAGGAGTCCACACCCTTTTATCGGGCTTGGAGGGATCCAAGCAAACCTGATTAAGGCAATGTAGCAAATTAGAAAGAGATTTAATTTCATCATCCCTGAGTCCCCTATGAAACCCAAAATCCCAATTAGGAGCCAAGGGTGTTCCCAAAGGTGAGACAAATTTTGAAACTACCTCTTTTTTATAAAAGGAAATAGAAAATAGCAAAGGGAAAAGGTCCTTTAGGGGGGTATCTCCTAACCAAATATCCTCCCAAAAGCGAACAGCATTGCCAGAACAAACTTCATACCTGATAAAATTGAGAAATTGAGGAAGAGTGTTGTGAATGGCCTTCCAAGGTGCTGCCAGGTTAGCCTGCCTTGTTACACCAACATCCCATTCATTTCTCTCATGAATGCTTCCCCCCACCACCTCATGCCACTATCTCTCACTTTCCAATGGCCATCGCCACAACCATTTCCCTAATAAAGCTTGATTTTTTTTCAATCACCCTTCCAAGTCCCAAACCCCCCTCTTCTTTACTTCTGCAAACAATTTCCCAACTAACCAAATGATCCTTTTTTTCTTGTCCCGACTCCCACAAGAAGTCTCTCATCAACTTCTCCAACTTCCTAGCTTCCCTAGTTGGTATCCTAAAGACAGACAAGAAGTAAGTAAGTTAGCCAACGTAGCTCTTATTAAAGTAATTCTCCCTCCCAAAGAGATATGATTCTTCTTCCATGAGGCTACTCTCTTCTCAAACTTTTCTAACACTGGGGTCCAAAATCTGCTCTCCCTAGGGTTTGCCCCTAATGGAAGCCCTAAGTATGACATAGGCCAGGTAGAGATGGAACACTCAAGACATTCCGCAATAACCACGATCTCCCCATCCTCCAAGTTTATACCTGCTATGCAACTCTTTTCCAGATTTATTTTCAAATTAGAAATCCTTTCAAATCCTTTGATTAGCTCTTTTAGGTTTGCTACCTTCTTCTCACTAAAGCCTCCTTCACAAAAGATCATTAAGTCATCTGCAAACTGAAGGTGGGTGACTGGGATTTGGTGTCTCCCTATTCTCCAACCCCTAATGGCATCTTCACTATCAGCCTTAGTAATGATCCTACTAATCACATCGGCTACTAATGTAAAAAGAAAGGGTGAGTAGATCCCCTTGCCTGACACCCCTGCAAGTTGGAAAAAAGTCCCTCACCACACGATTTACCAGAATGAAGTAGTGACAAGTACTAATACACCCAGATATCCAACTGCACCACTTGTCCCCAAATCCACAGTTTCTCATCACCTCTAGTAAAAACTCCCAGCCTACCAAGTCATAGGCCTTTTCAAGATCCAATTTACAAATAAAGCCTCTTTGCCTAGACCTTTTCACTTCCTCCACACACTCATTTGCAATTAGGATCTGATTTGTTATTTGTCGCCCTTGAATGAAGGCCCCTTGAGTTTCACTAATGATAGAAGGGAGAACTGTTTTGATCCTCAAAGAAAGCACTTTAGCCAGAATTTTATAGATGCTTGTCACCAGACTAATAAGCCTGTAATCTTTTGGGTGGCTGGCATCAATCTTCTTAGGAATCAAGGCCAAAAAAGTGGCATTGATTCCAAGGCTTATTACATGATTATCTGCAAATTCCTTAACACTTCAACTAAATCCTCTTTCAACACCTCCCAACAATCTTGACAAAAGCCCATTGTAAAGCCATCTGGACCTGGAGCCTTGGATCTATCCGTTAAAAAGACAGCTTTTTTAATCTCTTCTTCCTCGAAATTCCTTTCCAACCACCTTGCCATTCTGTCCTCAATTCTTGGCCATTCCATCCCTCCCACAACTTCTCTCTCATTCAAAGGTCTTCTATAGATCGATTTGAAATGGTCCACAAATTTTCTGGCTATATCATCCTAGTTGGTAATCACCCCCTCTCCTATCTCTAGCTTGGTCACAAAATTCATCGTCTCCCATTGGCCAAGTCATGGAAAAATCTAGTGTTCCCAGCGCCTTCCTTAATCCACTTGTGTCTACATTTTTGTCTCCAGCTAATTTCTACCCTCAATAACACCTCTTCCAAATCCTTTTTCAACTGTCTCCTTAACACTCTATCATCCTCGGTCAAAACATTTTGGGATTCCTTAAAATCCAAGTTTTCTATTTGAAAGATTAGGCTCATTTTTTGCTCCTCAATTCTGCCAAAATGTTCTCTATTCCATTCTTTTATTTGGCCCTCAATCTCTTTAACTTCTTATGAAACTTGACCCCCTTCCATCTTACCCCTCTCACCTCCTCACCCCACAATTCCTTCACTTTTTTCACAAAATCTGGATGGGTAAGCCACATATTTTCAAATCTAAAAGGTTTGGGTCCAGTAGGAAAAGTCTCAATGCCTATCTGGATAGGACAATGATCAGAGGTGACCCTAGGTAATGCTCTAGCAACCAAGTTTTCCACACTATCCTCCCATGCTAGGTTAAATAAAAATCTATCCAACTTCGAACACAAAGGGGTTTCTTGAAGGTTGGACCAAGTAAAACTAGTTTGCAGCAAAGGTATTTCCTTCAACTCACAATCTTCAATAAAGCCATTGAATTTCCTCATACTTGTTGTGATTACCTATTGGGGATTACTGGAACCGAAATATTCCCCAATGAACACTATCAGCACTATGCAGAGTACAAGATAATGTGGAGTATTATAACATAGTGGTCACATTAGTAGATATGTGGAGTAACAATGTTATTGCTTGCCTAACTTATGTGATACCACTTTGAGCTAGCTCAATGTTAATTTCAAACATGAAGTTACATATTAGTTTTTGTTTGTGTAATAAATTATTTAGTTGATCTATTAGAACCATTTACATTTCCTATAAGTTTAAATTTTGCTTTAACTTATTCTATCATGAAGTTTTGAATCTTAAGGTTTCATAGGACAACTTCAGAATGTATTCTCTTGTCTATAACCTTAGTTTTTTTAGCTTTGTTTAATGATTTGAAACAAGATAATAATTTAAAAAGGTGTGTCTATGCTTCTTTTATCATTTTATTTTTGAAAATTCTTTTTCATTTCATAAAATATCAATCTATACTTTTGCATATTTTACAATGTTTCCACCATATTTATAATTTTTACAATATTTCCAACCAAGGGTCAAAATATCGCAACGTATTAGGGCATATCGGCCAATACGTATTGTATTAGGGGCTTCCCGATACACCCCTATAAGAAGTATTTCGGGGTTTGGTCTAGTTCAGGCGGTAAACCAGCCTTAAACTGACACCTCTGGACCAGTTTCAAAGAAAAGGTAAAGAAAAAAAAAAAGCGAGCAAAGATACAGGCCAATATGCTAGTAGGGGCGTATCGGCCTGTATCAATATTTTGAACCTTGTTTCCAACATTTCCGACATATTTCCTACATTTAGACGATCAACATTTCCATCAACACTGACATTTTAAACCTTTGGTTAAATTGGATAATCTCAGACATGCTATTTTCTTTTTCCTATGCACAAATCAATTTTATGTGGACTATAGCCTTTCAGTGAACAATAATAACAATTATTTTACAGATGCAACAGCAGCAGCAACAGCAACAAACAAACAAATGATAAATAATAATAGAAACATCCAACAGACACAGGAGCATCAAGCTATCCAGTGTTTCATCAATGGAATACTTACCAATATTAACATACACATCATCATTGACCTTTGCATAGAACTCAGCTTCCCATGTATCTGCTGCATGTGCAAAGAAAAATTTTGTCTTCTTTGGAATCTCTTCAGGTGCCTCAACATGATTATCCTATCAAAAGAAGGAAAGTATCATGATAAAGCACATTATCTACCTCATACACCACAAACATTCTTGAATCATACTTAAATTTGCAGGTATCTATTTTAGTTGGGACTCAACACATAATACAGAAAAAGAGCTCTTATTGGAATATATAGTAATTAGGTTTATATCAAACCCTTGGATTTTGGACTTGCACAAAGTGAAATTCATTGTCTGCTACCACATCATTATTATTTACATAGCCACTTCTCTTTTTGAAAAGGTAAGGTACATCTTGTATTAATGTCAAAAAAAAATGCTTACATTTTTCTTTCACATAAAAGACTGTTGAGTTGTGTACATTCACCAAAAAGAAAAAGGGAATAAAAAAAGCTATTATTAGATTATGTTAAAGAAAATTATTTTTATCAGCATTAAAGAAAATGATTATTTAAAACAACAATTGTTCTTCGTTTCCTACTTAAAATTACTTAAGAGAGTTTAAGCATAAAAGTTAAAACTGCTTGTTCAAGGTATGCAACAGTTTAAAAAGTCAACTCATTTGAACATCATTTTAATGATAAGCTGAACATACAAGAATAATGAAATCATTGGTCTGCCTATTTTCTTTGTCAATGTCCCTGTCCATACTGTCTCCACGATTGGCACTGCAGATCAATATTTGAAACTTGGTTAAAATGTAGATTTGTAAATAATGGTTGGAAATATCTCCACAAACACACAATATACCTCCTTCCTATCACAAATCGTACAACAATGCCCTTCTCATCTTCCAGCTTTTTCAGCACTGCACCTGTACACATTACATTTAAGGTCTATTATATCCAAAGAAGAAAATCTGATGAGAGTTTACTAAGTACTTCCATAAGCTCAAATAGTTTGTAGTTTTGGACAAGGCATTTGACAACATAGTGAAAGGTTTTTTGCATAAAGTGCAATTGCTAATTTTACAAATCGAAGCATCTTGGCCTGATAGAGAGGATTTCCAATTAGTAGTGGGATGACAGTTTTGCAAGGGATAAGATTGGGGAAATCCTTATGGTTCAGTTTAGGAATAGTGCAAATACAAATATGTTTGGAGCAAAACCTTGTATGAGATATTTCTAAGCCTTGTATTTGGTACTCTTCCCAAACGAAGCCTATACTATACTAACTTGGTGGTGGAGGGGGTTCCAAGGTAGTAGTGGGATGGTTCAAGCAAAATAATACTGCCCTTGGTTACACAAACAATAAATAAGAGAAGCAAGAAGAGCAGATTTGAGAAAGGAATGGGAACAGCTGATCAGAAGAGAAGAATTTTACTGGAGACAAAGATCAAGAGTGAGATGGCTGAAAGAAGGAGATAATAATTCCAGATTCTTTCACACTTATGCCTCGGGAAGGAGTAGGAAGAATTTCATCTCTAAGCTGAAATTGAACCAAAGGAAAGTGGAGAATCCTGAGGAAATTAAGGAAGTCTTCCTTTCCTTCTTCAAAAACCTTTACTCCAAGGATAGTAATAACCGATTTACAATGAACAGATGGGAAGGCACAACTCTATCAGCTGAAAAGAGGGTTTGGTTAGAAAGAAGCTTTGAAGAGGAAGAAGTTAAAATGGCTGTCTTCAGCATGGATGAAGATAGGGCTCCAGGGCCGGATGGTTTCCCCATTTTTTTCTTCCAGCAATGTTGGGAAATAGTAAAGTCAGATCTCATGGATTTTTTTCAGGGACTTCCACTCTTCTGCCATTGTTAACAAAGGCTTTGCCTCATCCCAAAGAAAGGGGGAGTCTTGGAAGGTAAAGAATTTAGACCAATAAGTTTGATAGGGAGCATCTATAAAATTCTGGCCAAGGTTTTGGCCAAAAGAGTTAAAGAAGTCCTAGAAGATCTAATTTCCCCAAGCCAATTTGCTTTTGTAAAAGGAAGACAAATTGTGGACAGCATTCTAATTGCAAATGAGTGTGTGGAAGACAGAAAATCTTCTGGGAACCCGGGGGTCCTCATCAAACTAGACCTGGAAAAGGCATATGATAAAGTGGATTGGGATTGTATTTTAGATTTTGCTTAAAGATGAGAGGCTTTGGTAGAAAATGGATCAGGTGGATTAAAGGCTGTATTGGTTCTTCATGGTTTTCAGTGTTGATAAATGGTGAAGTGAAAGGCTACTTTAAGGCTAGTAGGGGTCTTAGACAAGGTTGCCCGCTTCCCCCCTTTCTATTCACTTTGGTAATGGACCTCTTTAACTATCTCTTTGATAAGGCTATTCTCCTTAACTTGGTGAAATGATTTGAAGTGGGAAGGGACAAGATTCACATTTCACACTTACAGTTTGCTGATGACATAATTTTGTTCTTGGATGCCTCCATAACCAACATCACAAACACTAAAAGGATAATTGAATGTTTCGAGCTTATCACTAGTTTGAGGGTTAACTTTTGCAAAAGTAATATAGTAGCTCTTAACTTAGTGGAAGTGGAACTTCTAGAAAGCTTAAATCTTTGTCGGGGTGTAAAGAGGAGAATGTTCCTATTTCCTATCTAGGGATGCCTCTTGGAGGGAATCTAAAATCTCTCAACCTCTGGAGACCAGTGATGGAGAAATGTGAGAAGAAACCATCATCTTGGAAGAACTGTTATCTCTCAAGAGGAGGAAGGCTTACCCTCTTGAAGGCCTCCTTAGCAAATTTGCCAGTCTACTTCCTTTCAGTCTTCCAGATTCCAATAAAAGTTAGAAATCAGATTGAGAAGCTTCAAAGGAACTTTCTTTGGCAAGGAGGTGGGGAAAAGAGAAGCCACTTAGTCAGTTGGAAACAAGTGTGCAAGCCTAAAGAGGAAGGTAGTTTGGGAATTGGGCACTTAAAAGAGAAAAATTCTTCTCTCTTAGGTAAATGGCTGTGGAGGTTCCCTAAAGAACCCAATACTCTATGGACAGCTATCGTCTCAAGAAAATATGGATCAAATGTAAGTGGGTGGGGTAGCAATCTCCATTTGAACAGGATAAAGTCCACAAATCCTTGGAAAGGTATCATCTCCACCCATACTTCTTTCTTTCCTTTTATAAGATATAAAGTGAAAAATGGCTCTAAAATAAAATTTTGGAAAGACTTTTGGTGGGGGAAACTAACCTTACAACCTCTTTCCCTAGACTTTTTAGCCTTACACTTGACCAAGAAGCCACTATTTCTTCCTGCCTTCCTGACCAAACTGTTGAGAACACCCTAAACCTTCGACTCAGAAGACCCCTAAGGGATTCAGAGATTTCTGAATTAATAGACTTAATTCAGACCCTTAAAGAAGCCTACATCTCCCCCTCCTATTCTGACACCCGAATCTGACCCTGCACCCTACTGGCGAATTCTCTTCTAAGTCTATATTCAAGGTTTTGATTGCTGATGAACAACATTCCTCCTTTCCTTTTAAGAAGATCTGGTGTAGCCACATCCCTTCAAGAGCTTGTTTCTTTGTCTGGGAAGCTTGTCTCCAGAAATTAAATACTTGTGATCTCTTGCAGAAAAAGTTTTTGGGAAGACTGTCCATCTCTCCTCATGTTTGCATTTTATGCTTCGATGAAGGTTAATCAACAGATCACATTTTTCTTCACTGCAAGTTCACCCAAAAGATTTGGTTCCATTTCTTGAAAATGGCAGGTTACAGATGGGTTATACCAGAATACATTATGGACTTTATGCATCAATGGCAAGGAATAGATTTAAGTAAAAGGGGTAAAGTTTATTGGCAATCAGTGCTACATACAGTGTTGTGGGGAGTTTGGGATGAAAGAAACAAACGTCTCTTTGACAACAAATTCAGGCCCCTGGATGAGTTAATTTCAGACATTACTTACCTTTGCAACCGCTGGATGGTAGGGCTGCTCACGGGTCGGGTTGGGTCGGTTTACTGAGGTTTTTCCAACCGACCTGACCTGGTCGGGTTACCTGAGATGGAAACCGAAACCGAAACCGACCCAGTGTTAAGCAAAACCGACCTGGTCGGTTTGAATCGGGTTGGGCTCTAAGTTCATCCATGCCCCCCATGGCCCATGTGCCTGTGTGGTGCAAGTTTGGGTTGTCAGATATTTCAGTTTTTATGTAAAACTGAAATATCTTTATTTAACAGTTTTAAATATAAAATATATTTAATTTAAAATCGAAATATATATTTAAATAGATTATATTTAAATAGTTAAGTAGGAACTAAGTCGGTTCGGTTCGGTTCGGGTCGGTTTCGGTTTTCACACAAGAAAACCGAAACCGACCCGAACCATCAGTTTATGAATTTGTACAACCTGAAACCGACCGGTGCTGATGAAAACCCGGCCGACTCGGGTTGGGTCGGTCCGGGTTGGTCGGTTTGGTCGGGTTGGGCCTTCTTATGAACAGCCCTACAGGATGGTGAACTCAGATCTGTTCAAAGGACTCTCAGTCAATGATCTCAATAGAGATGCTTACCCCTTTCTGTTTCTCCCTCACCTCCATCAAGCATCCTTGAGACATCCCGACCCCATCAGTGGAGTGATGACCCTAAACTTCAATGGAAGTGCCTTAGGTAACCCTGGCTTAGCTGGTATTAGAGGCACAGTAAGGGATGAAAGAGGCAACATTTGTTGGACTTTCAGCAGTCCAATTGGTTTAGCTGATTCCACAAAGGCTGAAGTGATGGTTGCTCTCACAGGAATCAGAATAATAAAAAATTTGGGAATCCAGAATTTCATCATTGTAGCAAATACTATAAAATGGTTAAGAGATAAAGAGGGGGGACCTTGGAGATTGAGTCACTATTTGGCAGAGGCTAGGGACTCTTTGAACTGTTTAAATGTAAAATTAATTTGGATTCCTAGGGAACACAATCATACAGCAGATGGCTTAGCCAAATGTGGTGTGTATTTGGAGCATTTGTATAGCAACAAGCTTCCTCCTTTGTAATTTGTAGGGGTTCTTCCCCTGCTTTGTACATCTCCTCATGTACCTCTTCTTCCTTCAATGAATCCTGGTTAAATTTTCTCAAAAAAAAAAAAAAAGAAGAAGATTATCTGTGGACCTAAGGGCAACCTTCATATGGACTCACAAATTAGCCAGACAATAAAGAGGAGAAGCAAGAAGATTATCTATGAAGCAGACACAAAGTCACAGACAGACTGTTTTCAAGATTTGAACCCTGGCCACCCAGGTTGCAATAGAGCAACCCAACCATTTTGCCAAGGCCCACCCTCAAACCAGAAATTGCAAACTAATACACAAATAATAGAAGAAAAAGATATCTTACAACAATCAATAGAAGTATACTGAGAGCAAACAAACCAGTTCTTAATAGCAAGAAACCAAAGAGAACAATGGAAGAAAATCAAACTTTATTGATGGGACAGAAAATGAATTCAAATGAATAAGATGAAAAATGCATGTGAACAGTGTAAGGAGTCTTTAGTCTCCTAAACCCTATAAAAGACCAATATTAACTGCCTAAACTACCCTTGATCATTGGGCACCACTAAAAGACATATTGTACTCTCCAAAATACACTTGTATGGAAGAAAAAAGAAAGACAAAAATTGGCTCAATTTTCTCTAACCAAAAAAACTACAATAACTCACTAACACTGACCCAATTAACATGAAATGTAAACCACAAATACTGTCTTGGGGCAACTGAAGATGTGGGGCCCATTGGTCAAATGTTTTACTTTGACCAATTGTTGGTAAACCCAAAAATCCAGCAACAATAACCTCTTTAATAAAAACTTACCTTTAGTCTGATTAGCTTGAGATTTATAGGGTCTCTCCACACTTCTTAAGTTTCAATATACCCAAATTTCAGCTC